CTACCGGCTGGCCGGCCTGTACTACAGGCAGGTGATCCCCCAACACATGCCTGCTGTGACGGGTGACAACATTCTGGGCCCGGCAGTGTTACGTGTGTTTCTGCCCAGGTGCCGTGACTGGTGTACCGCATAAATCGACAGCGATGAGCAGCTCATCGGCCGAGTCCGGGTCCGGGTCCGGGTCAGGGTCCGTCCCTGGCCCGGCCCGGCCCGACCCACACCGTCCGATGGCCGCTCCAGACATCAATAGCGAGTCTCGAGGGGGGGGGGGGTGGGGGGCGGGGCAGACTCGGACCACTGCGGCAGCCATGCGAAAACGACGCCTGAAGGGGGGAACGTGTGTGTGTTATCACTGGCTGGTGGGATACGCTCCTGTTCGCCTGCCACCGGCCTTGCTTCGCTTTCACCCTCATGGTGAAGCATTCCTGGACTCCCACCGAAATGGAACGCTACAAAAACGAGTACACCATGTCTGCCTTACACCTTTTGTATTGCACATCGCCGCAGGGTTCATGCGTAACTTCCTCGAAAGGACGCATCACGACCAACCCGTAAATGCACCCTATCCTGCTGTTACGCCTGTGGGACACCTCTCATCCGGCCCGTCACCACTGCGCTGATGCTGGGGTCGTGTCAGCTGGCGCAGTACAGCCGTACCTGCACCACCCCCTCTGCGGCCGTCACCGCTGCGCTGATGCCGGGGTCGCGCCCGCTGGCGCGGTACAGCCGTACCTGCACCACCCCCTCTGCGGCCCGTCACCACTGCGCTGATGCCGGGGTCGCGCCCGCTGGCGCAGTACAGCCGTACCTGCACCACCCCCTCTGCGGCCGTCACCACTGCGCTGATGCCGGGGTCGCGCCCGCTGGCGCAGTACAGCCGTACCTGCACCACCCCCTCTGCGGCCGTCACCACTGCGCTGATGCCGGGGTCGCGCCCGCTGGCGCAGTACAGCCGTACCTGCACCCCTCCCTCTGCGGCCGTCACCACTGCGCTGATGCTGGGGTCGCGCCCGCTGGCGCAGTACAGCCGTACCTGCACCCCTCCCTCTGCGGCCGTCACCACCTGTGCAGTGGTGTACCGCGGGGGCGGCCGTACGGACGCCGCGGTGTCGGCGCTGCGGCCGGGGACGCGGCGGCGCGCCGGCTCCGCGGGACGCGGCGCGCCGGCTCCGGTGGGCGCCGCCGTCGCCGCCGCCGCCGCTTGCCAGCCTCACCTTGAGGCCTCAATTAAGCAGGCGGCGCTGACGGAGCAGAGCGGCCATCCCTGCCGTGCCGTGTCCCCTGCCGCGGCGTGCCCATCCGGTACTTCCGGTTACGCAGCGACGCTCCGCCACGGCCGGCCTCCGCCGACATGATCCCGTCAATTATCGTGATCGTGACAGTCTTCTCTCAGGCAGACAGTGAAGCCCGTTTTGCGTGACTGAGGTGCCGTTTTACGCTGTGCCAAGGATGTGGCGGCTTGGGAACAACCCAGGTGGTACAGAATACACCACCTTGTCGTTGTGGAGTTGTAAGCGACTTCTGAGACGACTGGTGGTTCTACGCCCAGCGGAAGTGGCCTGGTGAAGTGGCCATTTGCGCGACTGGGTACAGTGAAAATTACCCACCCTTGCTGGTTGTTTTATTGCCGCATTATCGCTGGTTAAGCGTGAGTAGAGTATTTTCCGTGATGTATGGTGCCCTGCCCTCGGGCGCGTACTGCCGCGGCAGCAGAGTAGCGCGGCGCATACAAACACTGACCGGTCGTGTATGGGCTGAGAGTGGAGCCTCCCTTAAACACAAGTCTTGTGCGATGTGCTGAGAACATGACACATGAGGCCGCCGTGAAGCCTGAGTGGGACGGCCTCCCGAACAAAAGCATCGTGTTCACCTTCGCAAGCATCCCCGCCTCTCAGTGTTTGCGCTCCTCTTCTTCCGATGAATAGCAGCTCCGGCGTGGTATCTGTGTAAGGTCCTCGGCGGAACGCAGCACACGTGGCTGGTGACACCCTCATTATTGTGCATGACTAGTTCCGTATCAAATTGTGTTGATTGGCACCAAGCTGCCGATCTTTTTCTTCATTGTGTTGTCGGCTTGCAATACAGTCCCTACGTACTCGATGTCATGCCTTGGTAAGAAACTTAATTTCACGTCGCGGCCGATGAGCTCCGGTTGGACTTCCAGAGAAAGGCACGCTTCAAGACGTGGTTCGTGGAGTGTCATGAGCTTGCCGTGTTGCTTGCTGTTCCGGCACGGCGCCGCTGCCCGCGCCCCCTGTCCCTGTTGTCGGCCTCACCGCCTTCTGAGCCTGACTGGCGTCCCTGGCAATGTCAAGACGTGGCTCGGGGAGTGTCGTGAGCTTCCCGTGTGGCCTGCTGCTCCGGCACGGCCCCGTGAGCTTGCCGTGTGGCCTGCTGTTCCGGCACGGCGCCGCTGCCGCGCCCCCTGTCCCTGTTGTACGGCCTCACCGCCTTCTGAGCCTGACTAGCGTCCCTGGCAATGTCCTTCGGCCCCTGTAATCTCGCCCAGTAACGCGTCAAGGCCAGTTTTTCGGGCCGGGCTCGGCCGGCTGCCGCCGACCGCTGCTCCCGGCTGACAAAGGTGAGCCGATCGACTTTGACATGAGCTTCTGCGGCCTGGGGCGTCGGTAATTCACTGTCGGTGGTGGACGGGCCGGGCCGGCGTCCCCCGTGCCGCCAAGGGTCACCCACGGGGCCATGGGGTGGTGTGACAAGGATCTCGCGGGCTTCCGTGGGACTGGGAGGCTCAGAAAGGTGCGACGGGCACTTACCTGGGTGTCCGGAGTGGTCATCGGACCGGAATGGGCCGTGTTTGTGCCGTAAAACGGGACAGTCTTCCCGGCCTCGATGTATTGACATACCAGGTAAATAGGCAAATACTAGGTCGGATGCGGATAATAGTTCCAGCCTCCGCTTAGGTAAGTATGGGGGAGGGGTATGGGGGAGCAGTCACAATGATGCATTGGCTCACCATTGTCCGATCATCACATGACTCACGTGGCCGCTACTGCTTTACAGGAAGTGTTTCACATTGGTATGGTTTTTTTTTAATCGAAATGGCCATTTTAACGGCCTTTCGGTGCAGTTCACAGCCATGCCCATCTGAAAACCTGAATCTTTCCAGCTTCTGATCCGCACGCTCGCGAAAGCGGGGAGAGTATTTCAGGGAGAGTATTTCCGGGTCACCTTGGCATGCATTACGTCATGGTAACGTCATTCAAATCCTGCCACTCCCCGACGACATGCGGGGACCAACTCCGAGAAAAGTGCGACGGTCGAGTCGTTTATTTCTTGCGTTTGTGAGCACAATTTCCAGATACAAGGGCCGTCAATTGGCCCTTAATCAATGTTGTACAAGGTATGATGACGTAATCAAACAATGGGGCGTCGGGGAGCATATTTACTAAACAGAGAAATCGTGTTGCCCAGAGCAGTCTTTTCTACTTAAAAATAATACCAATAGTTTAAGTGAAGTTGTTTCATCATGTCTGATGCGTGCTGCATTATCTTCAAATGTGAAACATTCCCTTTCAACGTCGTCTTCCCGCACGTCGGTAGTGGTGGATAAGAGAAAGTGTTCCCGTTCACTGCTGTGCTGGTTGCGGTGTGTCACAAGTTAAGGGTCTGTGTGAAGAATGACACAGTCGACTGTCGATTTCAGGTTCTTAGCGTCTTAACTCGATGTGATTTCTGCGCCCCCATCCATGGATGAATGGAGTTGTTCCGCGTATTTCGGTCCGCTTTGAAGAAGACATTTCGGTCTCTATGACACCTTTTGTGCTGGCGAGTTTGACACAACGTGTGGTGGTGAGACTTGTACTCTCTGCCTGTGAGCTTCGGTGTTCTTAGAAACCGTGCCCAGAAATCGATGAGCACAGAATGCACAGCTGAAACCCAGTATGAAACTAATGAACAGAGCCGCATATCGTAAAGTTGATGCTGAAACTAAAGACGTCACTTTTCCCGGCAGCTGGTCTGCGCCCGCCCGTACCTGAACCGCGATTGGCTCCACAAGCCGGCCACGTTAATATGCCGAACCGACTTTATTCCGACTTAATTCCTTATATTTCATCCCTTATGGCACAACGATAGAACGAATGAAGCAAGGTATCAAAGCTAGTCCGCTTTTATTACGTGCTCAAATTTTGTGGCATATTGATGAAACGTGATGGTTATCATGAGGAACGTTTTCACGATCGGAAAATAAGTTTGAAAATTCGTGAAACAGGCTGGTGGAGCATTTTCCAAAATTGGCATCCATGTCGGAGAAAACTTGCTAATGGTTGGAACGCATCACTTTGTATTGTTTTCCTAACATTTGAGGTTTCATGTTTTTCTCACCAAGCATTTTAGGTCTGGTTGTCGGTGTATCTACGATGGTAACTTGATAGACAGATGAAATTACGTGGTTCTTTGTTATTAAGATGCCGTCAAGCACTAGCCGTGTAATACGCTCCAGTGATCGCAGTCATAGAGACTGACCTTGAACAGTAGCTGTCCTAGATAACGTGTTCTAAGTGCCGCAGCCTCGCCATCGGGTGGAGGATGTTTGACAAGGATGCGGTCTCGTGTGCTGTGTTCCAATGCCTTGCGTGAACGGATACGGAACACAACCTCCGCCATTGGTGGAGAAGACTCTATGGGAGATGCAGCTCATGCCACCTTTCCTGGAAATCCGGGAATGCGTGACCCGCTCATGACCCGCCAGTGCCCCGATCGTGACCCGAGCCAGCCACCCCAGCGGGTCCCCGCCGCCCTCCCCGGCGCGCCGGAAGCGCCACTCCGGTGTGGCGTCCAAAAAGCGTGCCAAATGACTCGCGAGATGCGCCGTCCATTGTGGTGCGCCCGGCCGGCCCATTCTAATCAGGCCGCGCGGATAATCATTGTGCACGCGTCGGCTGTGGTCGGCGGCCGCGGGCGCGCTGTGTGGTCCCGCCGGCCGACAGACCGGCGCTGAGTCAGTGACGGGCCTGCGCTGACGGCGGCTCTTCGACCGGCAGGGCATCAGCAGCACGAGTGGACCTCCTGGTCCTGCCTGGAGGCCGTGATGCCCTTCCTGGAGGAGCGCATGCAGCAGCGAGGCGTCGAGAAGAAGGACTAACCGCCGCCGAGCGCCGACCGCCGACACGGCGGTTTGCGGCGGCCGCGCGTGCTGCAGCGGGGTGCCGTCCCGAGGCGGCGGCGCTCCGGCGGCCGTGCGCCAGTCAGCGGCGGTCAGCGCGTGCTGCAGCGGGGTGCCGTCCCGAGGCGGCGGCGCTCCGGCGGCCGTGCGCCAGTCAGCGGCGGTCAGCGCGTGCTGCAGCGGGGTGCCGTCCCGAGGCGGCGGCGCCCCGGCAGCCGTGCGTCAGTCAACGGCGGCCGCGCGTGCTGCAGCGGGGTGCCGTCCCGAGGCGGCGTCGCTCCGGCGGCCGTCCGCCAGTCAGCGGCGGTCAGCGCGGCGCCCATGTCAGGGCCTGCCGGGCGCGGGACATTCCTCGAAGCATGCCTCTCCGAGAGGACCCGACTGTGCGCTGCGCCGTGCGCTGCATCGCGGCGCGGGACCGGGCGACCGCGGCCGTGCGCAGTCATGGTCAGCCAAGCGGGACCGCTGCTCGCCGTACGTGAACGCCACGCGTGCGTAGAGTGGAGGGGAGAGGCCGATCCGGGCTGGGCAGGAGCGGAGGAGAGGGGTTGGGGCTGGGCTGTGTGGGAGCGGAAGAGAGGGACGGCGGCCAACTGTGTGGGGGCGGAGGAGCGGGGCTGCGGCGGACTGTGTGAGAGCGGAAGAGAGGGGCTGCGGCGGACTGTGTGGGGGCGGAGGAGCGGGGCTGCGGCGGACTGTGTGAGGGCGGAGGAGAGGGGCTGCGGCGGACTGTGTGAGGGCGGAGGAGAGGAGCTGGGGCTGGGCTGTGTGGGAGCGGAAGAGAGGGACTGCGGCGAACTGTGTGGGAGCGGAGTTGCGGTGGGCTGTTCAACACTGGCGCGAATACACTCCTTGTTGATGGTGATCTAATACACTCCTTGTTGATGGTAACCTAATACACTCCCGGTCGGTGGTGATCCGGCGGCCTTGCTGCATACTGATGGACATTCCGACTTATACGAACACAGCCCCGTCGGTCTCAAAAGGTTGCCATTTCGCCCTGTCGTGGGAGAATCTGAGGAGATGACGTTCAGCGGAGCGTGAGAGGCCATAAACATGCAGGTGAAGTGAAAAAATACGTATAGAGTGCCATAAATCCACGTATTTTTCAACGCAAGCCTAGATGGAATGCCGGCAGAATAGTTGCATTCGTTACGAAAATATGGCGAGTAGATTTTGCTTCGCTTCATGCTCCACGCTGCCCTAAAATCCACGGAAATCAGTCTCAAAGCACCTCATAGTGATACGAGTCCGAATGGATGCTGTGGGGCATTATTAAATTCGGCATGATTTGAGCAATGCAGTTGCATTCTTTTAGTTGATGAACCTGCAGTTCGTATTAAGGATGCTGAAATATCCCTTCCGTGATTTTTACGCCTGATAAGGTGAGCTGGCCCAGTGATTAACACGCACTCGGGGAGCAATTTCTTGGTCAGTTTTTTTCCAAGATATCTTACGAAGGGCATGGTATAGTTGCACCAAACCTTGCATAGCTATAGCCGATTACGACAGTTCAGTCAGGCCATTCTAAGAGGTTACTTCAATATGATGCAAGGACGGAGTGTTAGACGAAGCCATGTATCTTTGATATGCTTTTTAGGCATTTAGACAGCTGCATCTAGGATTATGGCTAATTTCATTGACCTGGTCAGGTATAAAGGTCAGGTCGAGGTCAACACCAACTTGCTTTCTTATGCTGGACTCTGTCCTTGTGGGGTAGTTGATGGCGCTCATTTTAACTTTCTTGATCACAAGTAGGTCGCCAAATGTATTCAACTTCATATAGGTTAAAAAAGATCGCTGACCTAGAATCACCCCAATCAACCTATTTTATAAGAACATACCATGGGGTATCTGCGTTAAAGGTGGTTGCTGCGGAGGTCTAAGGGAACTTGGACAATAATCTGGAGTTTGACCTTATTTGACCCGAATGTCACGACCTAGCGAGCTCAAAATTTGACTAGTGAGTTCTTGTACATATCTATCCTGTATTTTCGAATCCTGCACTTAACCACGTTTGTCATTAACGAAGGGCTAAGAAGCTGCATTGCAATTCGAATTCCAAAATAGCATTCCTTCCGCTTTCCCTTCATTGCACCTTGTGGCCTGCCGCCGCCGCCGCCGTTGACAGCAGAGGACGTGCATACAGCGCAGAGTTCCGGGCGACCGTGAGTCCGGCGGACAACTCCTGGAGTGCGCTTAACAACAAACTTCACTTAGCTGAGTCGGCTTCTTGGAAACTCAGCCCAGGACACTGCTGGAAACTGGCCAGGTAGTGATTTCCTATTTGGCCTGTGTGATTGATACCGCTTGCGGGCAGTGAGTAAATGAAAACGGCCTTTGAGTGGTTGTCATCGGGCCTGTCACTTGCTGACTATGACTGCTCTAAGACTTATTTTATAATTATGCCTGTCTATTGCATAACATTGATGCTGGATTTCCACCACCGCTGTTTTGCCGTTTATATGTGTGGCACTTCCTAGCTGGGAGCGCCGCAGCTTGATCAAATGTTTTCTGGTGTTGGCATGCGATTTATTGCATCGCTAGCTCGGAGCTCGGAAGGCACTCCAGGTTAGTTCTTTCGGGTAACGGGTAATCGGCTTAGAAAACAAAAATTGGCCGAAAACTGAGCGACAAAGACAGCATGAACCCGTCTATTGCGTCTTCTTCATGCGCGTGGAAGGTGTGGTTGGCACAAAAACTACGAGAAAGGTAAAGAAGTGTCTGATTTAGGAGAAAGGCGAGTACTTGGTGTTGGTCAACCAGTCTGATAGACGTCACCCCTGAGGCCACCGGTCTACCAGAATTGCAGATGCCATGACGAACTTCGTGGCGGAATTACGCATTGCATTAAACCGGCCTGTTATTGGTGGAGACTCAAGAAGCGTGAGGACTGGCGGACGTGGACGGAACTGTGGCTCCTCGGACACAAGTGCTCCTCAAATCTAACGAAATCAACCTTCCACGATACAGTTAGTACTTCTAAACTGCATTCCTCTCCGGAGGAGTACTAGCGAGCATGACGAGAGCTGGACAGCTTTATCTGCGAAGGTGTACTCAGTACATCTGTATTTCGCATCACATCCGCGAATACATATGTCGTATGCCTTTACAGATCTGGCTGCCAAGCTCTCACTACAACCGCCAGCACACCTTCGGGAAGAGCAGCAGCTTAGAAGCACTTCTTTGTGGGTGGGAAGTTGAAGTTGAGAAGTTCAGCTGAATGTTAGGTGTGTCCGAGGACCAACAGCTCTGTTTCCGACCGGGTAAACGCCTTTCCTTTGGCTGCAGGAGCAGAGGTGCTGCAGCTTCAGTTATTGCAAGCGCTAAACAAGTGCCAGAACGCATTACAAGTTTTCATGTTGCAGCATTTGCTCTCAGGGACCTGCGACAAGGAAATGGTAAACTCATGTACTCAATCATCGACCAATGGAACAAACGTTCCAACGTCATCGCCTGGTGTAAGTGCGCATACAGCTGAGCCAACCGGGAAGGACAGTTGGACAGAAAAGACAGACAGACAGACAGACAGGACAGACAGACGAGACAGAAGGACAGCAGTGGGCGCGCAATCAAGAGGACCTTGCTTCAAATTCGAGCAACTCACAAGGAGCGATTTGGACTGTGACGCGTACATGGCAGATAGCCAAGTACCGTCCAGCGCTCTTCGGGACTCCTCGACACCTGACGGCGGCTGGACAGATAGCCGGCCGACACCTCGTTCACATATTTACACACCGGAAGAAGACGGTGGCCTGCACAAGCGGTCTGTTCATGATGTTTCGTCTTGTCTCAGTCTTTCCGTAAAGTTATCATCAGGTCATTGTCACTTCCTCCCACTGTGTTGTTCAATACATACCCTGAACATCGGGAGCCTTATCCCTGGTCTCCCATTGTGAGAAATATGTTCCCATTGACGTTCAAACAAGCTTTAAAGACGATATAGCATCGCCTGGAAGGATTTCAGATTTAGAAGCGCGAGATGATAGAAGTGAACATTCTTTGCAAAACCCGCAGACACGCAGTCACTCAGGTACGCAAACGTGTGCACACGCACATCCACACGCACCATACGCATGCATGCACGCACGCGCGTAATCCCGCACTTACGTACACATTCATGCATAATCACATATATCATCTAATCACTATACACAGTAATAAGTACTGTAATTGGACCGTCCCAGCCGTGAGGTCGTGTGCCATGAAAAGGTTGTGTTATATTGCTGTGATATGTTGATTTTAAAAAAGCACTGCATCGCCCCAAATGACAAAAGATAATAACAATAATGGTGTGCTTGAAGTGCTCTGTGCGTCATGGACTTTATAGACATCGACCTAAACTTTTTAATAATGTTTGTGAAAAATATCAAAGAACGGGAATAATCTCTTACTGGGCATCTTCTAATGAAAAGTTTTTAACCGCCCTTTTGTACACAGACTTACGGATTGAGTTCGAGGTAAGCACACGGAGTGAGGGGAAATCGGTCTTTGGGTGACGATTAGAAGATTTTGCTACATCCCCGAGGCTGTTACGGCAGCAAATCAACTGCCTGGACTGGGGGGAGCATCTTAGGTTATCGGTTTGCACTGCTTACATGTCACTTCTGAGTTGAAATTATTAGTGTTTCCGGTTGGGCTGCTGACAGATAACTTGAACTGAACACTCTGGAAGTAGCCAGTCTTCGTTAGTTTCACCCAGGTCAAAATGGGTTAAATGGCTTTTGTGTTGTAACCCTTGCTACTGCCATATTATGGAAAATGCATCGTTTATCCACCGTACGCGTCCCGCATGAATGTTCACTAACGTCTTGTGCAATGCCTTCCTACTCTTCACATGTACCATGTGTGCTGTATTGATTATAGTTGTCACGAACCTCCTGTGGCAGTAAAGATATTCACATCCTGGTTTTCACTCATCTGAGACCTGGTGACTCAGCTTCCGCCGCCCGCCCATATATTTGGTGATTTTAACGCTCACCATTCAGCGTAGGGA